AGCCAGGGGCAATTACCGTGCGCAGTGCACCGGCAGAAAACACGCGTTTGCAGGCTAACTACTGTGCTGGCCAGATGCACTATTTGGAGGTGTTGGCAGTTGCGCCATGCTCCCTCTCCTATGATGCGATAGCCAGCGTCAACCTGCGCATGTCGCACGTTTGCCACATACGAGAAAGCTAGTGGGAGGATTCGATCAATGGCATGGAAAGGGACTCAAATCGCTTTGGCATTACTTTGCATTTGCCCCTTGTGTTCGGCTGTCTCAACACATGAGCCCACAATGACCGTGAAGCAATTGCAGTCTCGTAAGGTGTGCCATGTCGGGTCCACTAATCTCTGCTGCGAGTTGCGGCAGACAAAGTCCAGCCCACAGCAAAACGTACTGCTTTCTCCTATTTCGGGAAGTTGCTCCAACACTGCATTTTCGAATTCCTGGAGACGGTCAAACTCCTGGAGTTCGATAGTTAGCTGGGTCTCTTCTCCTGCCAATGTGGCTAATATCAAGTAGATAGTCATTGATCTTTCTTCGCTCCATTGCGAGGTGGACACTGAAATGTGGTCTGCTATCATGGTCAAAAGTCCACTGCACAGCAATGCGCGCCTGTTTTCGAGCCAAAAGGTCCTGCGGCAGACCTCAATCAGGCTTACTTGTCTGGCTACTGCTACTGGTTGTTAGCGCTTCACCAATGTTGGGGAAAGGACAACTGCACGGGCAGCCATCAGTTGCTGTCTCCTAGTGCGATTGCGCTGTTTCACTATCTCGACCCCCGAATATGCGCCTTCGGGTGCCCTGACTACCCTAGCATATCCCTCCAGGAATGGACAGTGCTTGACATCCCTCGAAGGCATTGGCCGCCACTTGTAGGCGGCGTCGGCCGGCCTTTGCACTGCGATAGGTGAGGCAAACTAGCTTGCTACACCCTGCAAAGGCTCTGTCCAATGCAGCGCAATTGCTGCGGGAGTGCTGCTGTACACAGCGAAACACAGGCTTCGAAAGCCTCAGCACTAATTTCGGCAAGGTGCTTTGGCAAGGATATCTGTGCCAGCGACCGACAATGCGAGAAGACTTGCATGTGCACAATGTTCACCTGTGTCTGCGACAGGTCAATTTTCGGTTAGTTGCTGGCATCGTGCAAAGGCCTTATGCCCGATAAACGCGGTTGATTGGAGCATACTAAGCACCTGGATGCCTGCCGAGTGGAAGCATCCAGCTGGCAAGCCTTCAAGGGGGGATGACACACAACGCATCCATGATTGCTTTGGTCGAGGGGAGGCCTATCTGTGCCAGTCTTTCACTGCTTGAGAGCACGCAAGGGAGGGAGCAGTGCTTAACCTCAACCAAGCGATGCACTTGGCGCAGCCAGGGGCGCTCCCCTTACCACACCATGGGGGGATTCCCAACAAGGACGAGTGGATCCACACACCAGGTGAGCGTAGAGACCGAACCCATTCATTTCCACCCAGGAAGTACAGCGACAACCATACAACCCGAGAGGACGTGGAGACGGAACCCATTCATTTCACCCAAGATGTTCACCGCTCAATCCCAAGGGAAATCCAACCCATGATGCCCCCATTGGTTCCCGGACTCCAGTTCCCCAAAACCGGAGAAGACAATCCAAAAAAAGTGGACAGTCTTGGTCACCTTTTCAGTGACCCCAGTCCCAATGGAGCACAGCTCGGATCACCCGCAGGAGACCCTCACGTGGCCAGACTGTACATCGAGCCCACTCTCAAAGGAGAGAGTGGACCGGTCGGTGACCCAGTCGTTCGCGATCCCATGCACCCCAATGGGGTGCACCTGTCTCACGACAGGACCCTAACACTGTTAGGGAGGAACCGACGGTCTTGTCCACCGTGAGCTTGGCTACCCACGATGAGTTTTGACCGTTAGCCAATGATAGCCAAGCATTGCTAGAGTCAACCGGTTTAGGCGAAGCCTTGCTTTTGTTTCGTCTTTGCATTGACAAGCTGTCAGGGACAATTTTGAGTCAAACACCCTGAACAACACCTAACGGATGCTACCCTGTGAGTAAAGCCCTTTGTGAAGCTCTTCGTCAAAGATCCGAGTCGACAACGCTGAGTAGCTAGACAGTACCCAGGCTGCCACCCAAGTGGTGGTCCTGGATGAATACATAGAGTACAGATGTACAGTGCCTAGGACCTAGGGTAGCGGCGTTTCACTCTGTTTCACGTAGTCCATGCGGCTTGCACGTTTCAACAAGTTTCAAGAACGCTCAAAACGCAAAGTGGAGCTGGTGAGCCTGTCGAGACAATTTGGCCGGTCAGCGATACGCACTGTTGCCTCCCCCTCTCTGTGGGGGCTGCCTCAGCGATGCCTGTCTGTCAATTGTTGCGGTCCTCGAAAACTTGTCGTTTTCGACTGCCGACACTAATATTTTCCATTTGGCTAATGTCTTGTAGCATGACTGGCTGCACCCATGCACCTCGCGCTCTCCCACTGCATTTCCTCGGGATTTTGATCACAGTGAGCCTCCTGACTCGAATGCTATCGTTGTGAGACGAGTGTGCGAATTCAAAGTATCTGTCACTTCGGCGTCAGTGCATGACATTCCGGACCTGTTGCCTGCAAGACTGTGTACTTGGAAGTAAGGCACATAATTGCAAAGATGCAACCTCAGGTAGCTCGTGTACACTCCCATTTCCTCTGCGCACTCTTGGGTGCCTTTCGCACACATTGTGGCTGATCACGATAGCTAAGCAGTCAACTCACTGCCCACGGTGAGGAATACCTCTTTTGCTTGACCTAGACGTACTGAGCGCAAAGAGCGGAATGAATTCATTGCCCCGTTTCACCGCTTTTCACGTTGTTTTGCTTTGGCTCACGCAGCCTACCTGAGATACGAACCTTGCCGCTTTGGGTGTTTGGTGTTTTGTTTTTGGTTGGGTTTGGGCGGTTGTGGTTCGTTCTTGGTCGTTGCTTGGCTCGTATCTCTCCCCATTTAATTCAATCAAGGTGACTTGTGCCTCTCGGCACACATAGCGCCTCCACCCGTGCAAAAATGCACAGCTCATCCTGCCAAGGTAGTCAAAGAGAACACACTCCAAGAAGGAAGATCCCTGCTCAGCTCCAACCCCAAGGACGCGTGTGAGGAGCTTGATTGGCTGCATCACCACTAGTTCCGATCCAGGGACAGGGAACTGGGAGGCAGGGAACTGGGGACAGGGAAGGGACAGGGAACTGGGAACAGGGAACTGGAGCCTGGAGATGGGGAACTGGGGGCAGGGAGAGACAGGGAACTGGGGACAGGGAACTGGGGGAGGGAAGTGGGAGCATCAAAAACTGGGGGGACGACTGTGCAGTCCTTCAACGGTGATTCAGTTTGATGACCACCCGATGTGCAGGGAAGAACACAAGAAGAGCAGCGTTCCAATTTTCGTGGGCAAACTACATCCACTTGCCATCTCAAAGGCACATGGAACCATGTGCTGCAACATTTTTTTCTGCACCACATCTTTCGGTCTTCGAAAAGTCTTGTCGTTTCGCAACCAAACTGTTCTTATGATGCAGCACTGTTGTTGTTGTTGTTCAACTGTTTTCCCTCATGCAGGTTGATAGATGTGCTTGCAAAATTACAGAAATGTTGATAGTTCAACGGCAGTTTCACAGCATCACCAACATCATTAATTCCGATACCTTTAAACGTTGTTTTGTGCTGTTGTCGTTAGGTCAACGGAATTGCAATGCAATTTTTGTGTCTGTTTCAGACAGTATCCCAAGAGATAAAAAAACATGTGGTTGTCAAAGAGATATGTCATGTGGTTGTTAAGTCCACAAACCTACTTGGCCAAGCAACATTTTTTGTTTTTGGGAACAGTGACACTTCCGGCACTTGGTCCCCCAAGTTATCAAATCGCCGCTCGTGGCTCTTCGATGGTTTTTTTCAAATCCACGAAGGTAAAAACAACTGTATCCTTTCACGCTCTTTCTTCTCTCCCCTTGCGTCCTGATTTGGAACGCAGATGGGCAAATGACATCTTCTTGTTCAGTTTCCTCCTTGTTCCTTCTCAATGATGGATATGCATGTTGGTGTGACAAGTCTTGGCAACACGAGGGCTGCTGACAGGGGTGTTGCTGCGCAAGTGAGGATGACCTCTTTGCATTTGCGCCTTTTTGAGGTTTATAGTGTTCACCTTCTCGGGCGCCCAGCACTCCTGGCATAATGCACCAGTTGGACAGCTACACTCACTTGTCCTTTGTTCGGTCTTTTGACCACCAGCTCAAACTGCAACAAGGGTTGCGTATTTGTTCCAGCACAGTTAGTTGCACTGCAGTTTGTCCGCATTGTAGATCAATCAATGCCGAGGACCTTAACACTCCCCATGCCTCGAATTTATGCTATTCTCAATCTCTGCGACTTGTCGATTTAGTTCTCACATTCATTTGTAGTTCAGCCGGTACGCCTATGCTGCTCTTAGTGACTCTTGAATCGCACTTCTTGATGTTTCACTCTTGTGGCTTGATTTTGCTGCAATAGTGCGGCAACCTTGAAAATTTGCACTTGTATTTACAGAAATCTTTCTGCAAATTATGGGCATCTGCAAAGCAAAATAATCCAAGATAGAGGTGTCTTGTTTTCTTTGGTCTTCACCATTCCAATCCACAATACCACATCATGCCAAGGTTTTGCTACCCGGGGGTTTCAGCGCTTACAGTAATGGTGTTAATGTACCATTGAGAGACACATTATTTGTGATGCTCATAATGCAATGACAATTCGTTAGCATGGCAAGCATATTTTTTGTGTGATTGTGTTGTTTGTTGATTTGTGACGCATGTTGCAACCAACCGCAGCCCATTTGGAAGTTGAAACATTAGATTATGTTTCGAACACAATGAGTTGACGACAAAAACGAACCGCCATGCAACGTGTGTTCATTTTGGACAACTGCCCAGCAAAACGCTGTGTATCACCATCGTTGGCTATGTTTCCATCATCCGTCAATTTGCCACGCAAGTCAAAGCAGGAGTCTTGAAGTTCATCCAAAAATGGCAGCACATGAAGGAAGGACAAAGGACATGCAGATCGAGGCGTGATTGCCTTCCCCATCCCTTTCGCATTTCAAGCGAACTTGTAGTTTTCACCGAACAAGAATCTTAGCGCTGGCTCAGGCAGTTGCAACTGCCATCAATTGGGTTGGCCTTTGGGGTGAGGCCGTGCGAGAGGTCGACATGCGGGGAGTGATTGAGCCTCATGGTGCAGGCAGATTTCGACACCCCTTTGAGAAGTGACGCTTTGGCATGGGTGTGGAGCCTTGGTCTTTTCGAGCAGAAATGGCATCCTTCTTTTTTTCTATTCAGGGGCAGGGTAGGCCGCAGCTAGTAGCTTAAGTAGCTCTACTTAGGACGCAGGATAGCGCTCGTACTAATGATTGGGTTCCTAGATTTTTAGGGAGAATTGACAGTAGAAGTTAGAAGTTGTAATTACATATCGGTTCTGAGTGTTATGACAACACTTTGAGAAAGCATATGCATTCCGCATTCCCTTTGGGAACTCAGACCAGCGACGAAGTCCGGCGCTATGTGTCAAGCGGCGGCACGGATGTGCCACAACAAGTACCTGTCTTGGTTTCCCGGGATTTCAATCACTTGGCTGATGATTTGAGTATTTTCCAGGGTTTTGCAAGTGCTGCAGGTGGTCGATGAAGAGGACTCCCCATGTCCTTATACGGGTGCTGGAGCCGCATGGAAGACTGATGTGCCGCAGCCCTTGGATCGGAGGCGTTGTATGATGACTGTTGTCTTTCGGAGCCTCCAGGCCATCTCCTTGGTGGGTGGACTCTCAGCATGAGTCCCAGAGGAGTTTTTTGGAGTGTCGGGGTGAAGTATTGTTGGACTCTGGATGGTGAGCTCATGAGCCCCGAAAACCAGATGAGCGTCAGTCGTGGGGCAAAATTAGCAACAGCCGTTGAATGTTTGAGTCGTTCCACTCATCACTACTATGAGGTTCCACACAGAAGGACCTGCTGATGATGAGTCGATCCCTCGCAAAATAGAAGGATGGTGGAGAGTTTTGGATTACCAGCGAGATCCAGAGGCTGAGGCCAGATGGCAAGCCCATTTGGTTTTGGTCAGTTTCTTGAAACACCTCCTTTTTCATTTTTGCAGGTTGGGGATGACTTGAATGTCAACGAGCTTTGCTTTGTAGAGAAGCTTTGGACAGATCGTGTTCGAGTATTCAAGGCAGGTCCCTGCTTCAACATGTCTTGCCCAGAAAGTGTTCACCATGAAACATTTTGGTCAAAACAATTGCATCTGGATGCCAGGCAGGCCAATCAGGTCCAGCAGGTGAAGTGCCTTTGTCACGGGTGACTAGCTTGAAAGGTTAGTCGTTCCCACTGGATCAACGGAACTTCTATTCGTTTTTAAGCCTTTTTTGAACTTTGAACTCTATAGTCTATAGTTATAATATGTTTTGCAATGTTTCTCCATTGAGGTTTGCGATTTGCAGCTGATGCAGAGGGCTTCGAATTCTGTTGGATCAAGGCGTGGATCACAGGGCTGGCCTGCCGCGAAACCATTTCCGTGGCACTCCGATTGACCACATGAAAATGTCAGACAAAATTCTCCACACATAGGGTGCTGTTTTTTAATGGCCTTGTACCTTGTAGAGTTGTCTTTGGCACCCTTCATGGATAGGACTTTAGAGCGGAATTCTGATCTGTTCTGTTTACAGTTTACTGAAGCCTTTCTGCATGTTCTCATGCTGACAGTTGGGACCTTCTTCGTGATGTTGGGGAAGGTGGTGAGTGCCTTGGAATGTCCATTTGTCTTTCATCCGGTTGTTACACCAGTTCCGTGACCAGGTGACGACCCAGATGAGATTCAAGTAGGGCAGAAGAGAGTTCTTCTCGGTGGAGAGTGCCCCTACGTCTTGAAGTACACCTGCTTATGTATGCTTTTGCACTTGTCTCATGTCTAGTTGAATCTCCAGGTATGGGACCTTAAAGTTGAAGGGCCTTGAGTGCGAGGTTTTAAGCTATGTGGAATGGATGGACAGGTCCGCCTTTTCAAAGTGACAACATGATCACTGACATGGTTTAATTTCACATAAGAGAATACGTGATGAGGTGGACTGTCGAGATTCCAGTGAAAGATCAGAAAGGCAAGAACTTGGTGGTTGCGGACTCCTTAGTAAAGGGGTAGCAGCCAATAACAGCATTCTATTGTCAACATCGATTCCTCGGTCCTCAAGGCTGTTATTCCTGCTCAACTTCGGCAACCAAAGCTTCCAAGAGATCCTAAGAGAAATGCTCAGGCAAGGACTGGATGCCAGAGCTCAAACGATGTTGAGATGCTTTTTCGTTTCTTGGAATGTTGAGTTTCCCTAAACATCTAGGAACCAAAACATTAGTGCGAGTGCTTCTTCAAGGAAGCTCCCCCCGCCCTCAGAAGAAGCGTGAGTTATCCTGCATCCAGCTACTAGAAGTTAACTTGCTCTAGTAGCTTACTAGTCCCTTACTTAATTAAGTAGGCGCCTACGTAATTATGTAGGGAGGGGAGCGGGCTTTAAAACAACAAGCATGCTTCGATTCCACAAACTGCTGAATCGAACAAGTATGCGGCAAGGTGAATCTAGGTGTTGCCCTTCGATCTCGTGCCTTAGAGCTGTGCTGGCGACAGGCCGTTCAAAAACGCAAATTGGTCAAAGTCACTATTTTGCATTGTAGGCCGAGAGTGATGTAGCAACAGGAACCAGTAGTGGAAGCCGTTGCGAGCTTACAAAACATTGCAAGCTTACACAACGTTGCAAAACAAATCTTTAAAATGCATTTGACCAAGTGAACTTATTATTGTTCTCTTGTGCAAGCTGTGGCATTTTAAATAAGCGATATAAGTCCGAAGAGATATCATTACATCCTTGACATTCATTGCTGAACCTAGGATGGGTGAACAGTCCAAAGCATTGAACACATTGAAAACTATTGCTCTAGATTGCGGTTGCTCTAGATTGCGGTTGAGGTAGCAAGTTTCGGCTGCAGCTGCACTACGTGAGTTGGATGCCCAGTTTCAACCAGCTTGAAACAGCCAAAGGCCTTGAAGTGTTTTGTGGGCCGAGGCCGAGTAAGGCCAGGGGGCAGAGTCTGGACATCTTGCCCTGACTCCTTGTACAAATATGTTGAGGTGGGCGACAGAGAGGGCAGCTGAAGATGCTGAGTCTTCATCTATATACAAGGTTCTGAAGATGGAGGTATATGAAGGTCCAAGATCTTCCAATGCTTTACATACAGGTCTTATCCAGATATCACATGAACGTTTGAGAGTTGAGCCGTTCGTGGGCGAGCTTCCGCCTGAGCGAAGGTGCGGTTTGTCGCTTCTGGGGACTACGGCTTGGTCTATCGAGTGCTACGGATGGTGGACTCATCGAAGCAGGCACTGGATATCGAACGGGAGCTTTCGAACGCGGCTCCAGCGGCTCCAGGCGTTTGAACGGGATGAGGAGGATCCACATTTGGTCCTGGACATTCCACGAGGTTCAGACCGAGCTACCATAATCAAAGCTTATCGCAGGCAGGTCAAGCACTCACTTTCTTTTGAACCAGCCGAGGATTGCAAGCTTTGCAACTTCATGAAATGAAGTATAGATGAATTTGTAGATAGTGCTTTTTAACTTGACAACAAATTGCTAGCGAAGGCTTGCAAGACGGTGGCATCCAGATAAAGTCAAGGAAGAGGAGCACGAACAGGCGGAGCATAGGGCTGGACATTTGCATAGCGCATTAGGAATATTTGTTAAATTCCTTTCTTCTTTTCTTTCATACCATCGAAAGCGATCATTTCTCCAGGCTGTTCAGGAGTTCAGAAGAGCTCATCAAGCCTACGAAAACTTGCTCGCAGATCCAGAAAGGAGCAAGGAGCCAAGTGGGCACCAGAAGCACTTTGCCAACACTTTTACTTGCAGGCTGTTGGAGGGTTGGCGTGTCGGGCGTATCGAGGTTCAGACCTAATGGTGCTGAAGACTTCCCGGCGAGATTACACTCTTGACGGTGCTTTGCGTGTCTGGAATCTGGAATTTGCATGATTTGCTCAGGATGCAACATCCTTTTCCACCTCGGAAGAAGTTGCCTCAGCTATAGGTGTGTCTATTCCACAAGAGCCTTTTTCCTGGTGAAGACAGATGGATGGTATGAGGCCAAAACGAATTACTATTCCGATGGCATTTCAAACTGAGGCCGCGCTTTCATGATATGCGAGTTGCATTGCACTGGATGATATGGCTTTGACAAAAAGTCTTGCACAACGCATGTTCTTTCGCAATCAAGCAATCCAGGCGAAATGCTTGAGCTTGGTCTCTCAATTGTCGAGATCTAAGAGTTTTGCAAGGTTCACGTCCGTCCGTCTTTGGGGTGTTTCGTCAAGTTAAGGAGATTGGCAAATGTCCAGAAGCTGGTTGAAGTGGGGCCGAACATCGAGTGCTGACCTAAAGTCGCTAGGATTGTCGGGATGCTTCAAATCTTGTTTGGTTGAATAGCCTTGCATTGCTTGTACTTCATAGCTTTTCCCATGACACATGAACTTAAACTTCAATTTTTGGTCCACCGAGTCCGCCTTCAATTGGAGCCTTTGAATCTTTGAGGTTCATTGTGAGCTGGCCATACTTGCCAGAAGCGCTGATTCCCGCCAATCAATGTGACGGGATCAGCCAGGTTTGGAGCTCGTCATGATTTCGCATCACGATACACCTGTGCGGCTTGCGCGGTTTCGACGAGGGTTGCGCGCGGTTTAGGTGGATCGAGTGGATCTTGTGAGAAAAGGATGGCTCTACTCCCAGCATTCTGACCTTCGCATTCGCAACTTTTACATGTTCCTTACCATGTTGAAGTCGCAAGAAGGTCAGACTACTCGAGATCACGGCATTCTGCTCGGAGCTTGAATGGTATACAAGCGCAAAGAAACCTTCGCATTCTCGGGGTATTCCATTCCTTTTTGAGAAAATCGAGGCACAGCAGATCATTCGCATGATGGTCTCAATGATCAGGCGTGACAAAAGTCACTTTGGACCGAAGTCACTTTGGTGGTGTTAGGCATGACGTGATGATTGTCGACCCGATACAGAACATCATTGTCGATCGCGAAAGTGGTGAACCTCTCATGATCGATTTTGGCAGAGGTACGCTTTGCCGGTTCGACGCTGATTTAGAAGCAAGTGCATCGCTACTAGTAACAACGGCATTACGGTATTACTACTAGCAGCTAGAAGCTACTAGTAACAAGGGCATCGCTACAAAGATCGAAGATGGATCGCAGTGCGCAAGTTTGCAGGTGAAACTGCTGGATCCATTTACACCACGAGGATCAAGACCTTCATGAAGAAAGTTCTGCAGTGTGATCCTTACACTACGTACCAGCCGGTCTGAACGAGAGTAGGGCCTCAGTAGGGCTGTTTGTTTTCACCCTGCTGATACATGATAAGTATATAGAGATTTGAGAATACTCAGGGCCTCAGGGCACAGGCGATGAAATGCAACAGATGGATTTTGAGCAATTTAATTGGTTTGGGGGTGAATGCCCTGGCTGCCCAGCTGCAGTGGCTGCTGCTGTTGCTGCTCCGGGAGACCACTGTTGGGTCACGGTCACTTGTGTTATGTCATGTTATGTTTAGATCTGCCAATCCAAGGCTTTTGGCCAGAAGCGTGTCCAAATCCAGCTACGATGTCGCGCGATTCTTGGAGATGAGCATCGAAGCCGGAAGACCTGAGAGGAACTGGAAAACTTGCACTTTTGAGGCCGCGAGATACATTACGTGCCTGGAAGACACACTATTTGAATGTTGGAGGCTCAGTAAGACCCGATCGCAGATCAGCGACGCGATCTCAGTTTTCTTTTATTCCCACCAACCAGGCCTTGAGCGATGGCAAGATGAAAAAACCCGTGACCAGCGTAAGGTGGGACACGCAGGATTTCAGATTTTACAGCGTTATTCATGCAATTCCGGCATGCATCCATGAGCTGTTTGTGCATGTTCACGTACCGCCGCTAGGGCCCTTGAGCATAGACCAAAAGGGTGTGCAGCCCCTTCGTTCATGTCGTCGTGAAGCCGACACTCCTTTCGTGGGTTTGAGCACCGACCCCAAGCTCCACATACCCTACAATCGAACCCCGTCGATTGCATTGGTAGCGTGCACCTGCACGGTGCCTAGTGGCTCGCAGCGGCCCTACCATGGACCTCATCAATGAGGATGAAGAGGACAATGTGTCCTTGCTGTTGGAAGAAGAGGATGATGAGGAAGAGTACCAAGAGGAAGCAGAAGAGGAGATCTCTGCCGAGCACGACGCCCCTGCTGAGGACGATGGTGGCCCTTCACCTTCGGCTCCAGCGGTGACTCGCTCAGGTCGCAATGGACCGAGATCTTCGACCCCCTCAGTTGCTGGCAGCTCCAAGTCGCAAGACCATAAGAGTGCGGCCAGTCCGGGACCTAGCCCCAGCAAAGACTCTTCCAGGTCAGCTTCGAAGTCTCGCGGTCCTGAAGATCGTGGTTCTCAGAAGCGCCCTCGCGGGAATCTCCCGCCGGCGCCGAAGTTCGATGGTGACCGCAAGGCCAATCCAAAGTGCTTCAAGGTTTGGCTCGGGAAGGTTGATTCCTATGTCGAGATAGCCCGCAAGATCATCGATGACTCGGAGATTGGGCTTCGACTTCATGCAGCCTTGGAAGGCAAAGCAGCCGAGTTCTTGGAGGACGTGCCCGCTCGCACCTTTGGCAAGGTGGACGGCTGGAGGATCCTTTTGAGGGTCTTGCAGGACAAGTTCGACGAGCCCCAGGTCCACAAGATCGGCAGCGCCGTGAAGGGTTTCTTCAAGATGCAGTTGGGTTCTGGCTCTTGCACTATGCGGGAGGCAGCCGACGCCTTGGACAAGGCCCACCGAGACTGCAGAGACACTGGTTTGAGCATGCCGGATGCCGTGCTGATCTACTGGTACTTCGAGCATGCCGGAGTCAGCCAAGAGAGACAAGCCAATTTGCTCCTCCGTACGAACGGAGAGTACAACTGGAAGTTCATGAAGCAGGCCATCGACGTCCTCCAACCGTCACTACACCCACAGGCCGGCTGGTAAAGGCCGTGGTGCACACGAGGCACACACTGTGGATCAGCAGCAGACCGATGAGGTTTCGCTGCCCAGTTGGGATGCTTCAGAAGAACAGCTAGAAGGCTGGCTGATGGACTACGACCCTGTCGAGATGCTGGCGGACGTCGAGATGAACGGGGGCGTCCCTGAGGATTTGACTCGCGAGCTCCACCACTGCTTCGCGACCCACCGCGAGAACAGGCAGAAGCTCGCCAAGGCCGTGAAGGCCAGGGGATTCTATGTCTCCGGATCCTCGAATGCTGGCAAAGGCAAGAAGGGTCAGAAAGGCTCCAAAGGCAAGAAGGGCAAGGGATCTTCGAAAGGCGGCGGCAAAGCTCGTGGAGGCATGACTCTTCAGGAGTTGAAGGCCGTCGCAACTTGCGGTGACTGCGAACAAGTCGGTCACTGGCGTGGAGATCCAGAATGCCCCAAGCAACGACGTGGTGCACATGAAGCAGGTCGCGAGGACGACTATGATACTTGGGATGCTGACTGGTACGACGACGCTGACTACAAGTGGGATGATGGCACTTGGGACGAGTTCCAGGAGAACCAAGCGCGTGCTGCGCACACTGCCACTCGTCCTGCGCAGGTCAAGCCTACCAGAACTCCACCTGCGCCAACTTCGTTGTCAGGTCGCAAGCTTGAGCCAGCTACATCCTACCGTTCCTCTTCGGCGACACCCGCGGACGAGAACCAGGTGAAGAAGGTGGCGCAGAAAGTTGAAGCTCTCCGCAAGAAGGCAAAGCCCGATGCCTCTCCTTTGAGCCTTGGCGCCGTGCGAGAAGAGCTGGCCAAGGACAACACCTCGAGCAGCTTTGTCGCGACTGAGGCCGTGAAGACCTTCATCGAGGACGCTCGTGTGAAGAGCACCTACAGTCGTGCACCAGCTGTTGCGTCAGTCGCGGAAGCCATCCGCCACTATGACAATGACACCTATGAGGAGGTGGGATCGGCATGGACTTTGTTGGCCGGTGACAAGAAGCAGAAGGCACCGGACATTGAAGCTCTTCGCCAACCTCGTCGCAACTTCATGACCCGTCGAGTTGGTTGGACCAATGTGGAGACCATCCCGGACTCCGACGATGAGGAACTCATGACAGAGCAACAGATCCACCGGCATGTCAGCTCCCTGACCAGGCGAGCACCAACTGTGCAAGACGGCCGATGCTACATCACGATTGACACCGCGTGCGAGAACACTGTCTGCGGCTCTAGCATCTTGGATCTGATTGTTCGACGCTTTTTGGAGGACTACCACATCGTCCCCAAGATTGAGACTGAGTCGGAACGCTATTGTTTTGGCCCTGGTGAGCGGATCACATCGAGCACGAGAGTCAGTTTGCCCATCGCAGTGCAAGGCGTGGCCATGGTGGTCAACACATCCACCATCGAGCAAGCGCCAGGACGTGCTCCAGTACCGTTCCTGGCAGGCCAAGATTGGCTTCTTTTTGTGAAGGCCATCATCGATGTGGGCGCTGGCACTTTTTCCATGCCTGACATTGGAGTCACGGCACCTTTGTTGATTGACCACACTGGTCATGTGGTCATCGCCATCGATGAATTTCCTGATGGCAAGTGGCCGCACGGCTTGAACCCCAAGGCCATCGGCTACGAGGGCATCGTTTTCGACCCTTACTGGGCCGACAGTTCTCAGCCCCTCGACGTTGACAAAATCTTCGTCAACGAGGGACCAGACCCTCTCGCTGGCCGTGAAATCTACGCGTCCGACCGCTTTGACCGCTTTGAGTCCACCAAGTTTGAGTCCACCAAGTACCACCTGAAGACTAGCCCCAACTATTTCTATGAGCCCAATGATGACGACTTCCTTTCCGACCAGAACCTCACTAGGGGCCCCTGCACGGTGAAACCAGACTATTGGGAGTTTCAGTTTGACAAAGGCATGATCATCCGCCACCACTGCAGGCCGAGAAGTTGCCTCTTCAGCCCTACGGACGACAGGTCCGGGCCTGATCCCGATACGTTGTCGTTCGATCGGGTTACTGTGGTGAAGGGCTTCAAAGATGTGGTTCGAGATGTTTGGACTCCGCTCGAAGCTCAACAAGAACTTCCTTTTGTTTGGACCGGCTTCACAGTTTTGTTTTTGAAAGATGTGTCAGTGCAGAGTCATTCACTTTTTCAGCCACAACCTGTAGCCGGCGTGGACATTGTTTTTCCTGGTGGCAGTGAACATGTGGTCAGTGCCAAAAGTCTTCAACCACATACCAACAAGAGGATTTTGCAGTTTGACCTCGATGTCACTCCTCCCATCTTCGAGCGTGCCCCCAGCAAGAGGTCTGACAGGTTCACGATCCCACCGAAGCAATTCGGCTCTCGAGCAGCCTCTCAGCGGCAGCTCACTCGTGAACATCGTCTTCGACCAGGTCTACATGGGCAAGCAAGCTCTGAGGGCATGGCAGCGCCTGATCATGGCCATCGAACGTCTTTGGATGCTCCTGGCCAGGTGGGAAGGCATCAATCTCGCCATCAGAGAGTTCAAGCACCGGTCTCCGGCCCTGATGGGCTACATGGAGGCAATGATGCGCCAACAGCAGCAGATGCCAGCGACGGTGCCGCCGGCGACGACCAAAGCAGCGGGTCAGACAGCCAAGGCCTTGCAATCGGCCTATCCGCTGCAGATCCCTCATTGCCCCCACGAGGTGGCGTCAGCTCGGCGCCTGGGCAATGCTCATGGGAAGTTTCTGGAATGCCTGGACTGCGGGCTGCTGAAGAAAGCTCTTCCTTCGGACTACACGGTGCCGATCAGCAAGGAGAAGGTCCCCGCGTATGCCTACCTCCACGGCTATCGTCAGCAGCCAGGCGCAAAAGCAACAAAGTTCGTCCTCAAGCCAAAGGAGGCGGCGTACTATGGCAACTTGGCCGATTGCCACTCGCTGTCCTCGCAACCGGCTTTGGAGGTTTCCATCAACGATGTGGTCTTGAAGAGGAAGGTGGACCCCAAAGCCAAGAGCAAGACCAAGCCAAGGCAATCTTCGCCGAAGCGCTCCTTGGCGACAGCTTCCAAGGACGAGGACGACAGCTGGGACAAGGTGATGGAGGTCAGCGACGAGGAGGAGTTCGATGGCTAGACGAACATGCTCCTGATCCCGACGATTGGCATCACCTCAAACCCGGCGCCCAGAGATGGCTGAAGCGCAACATGAGGCGAGCGCTCGCCATGAGCCGGGCCTCTCGCAAAGCAGTGCAAGACAAAATGGCTACCTCCAGTTGGCCAAGACGGACCTTTGGGTATGACATCATCGAGATCTTCGGCGGCGCTTCGATGATCTCACTTCGAGCAGGCCGCAACTGGGGATTGAAAGTCTTGCAACCTATCGACATCAGGTACGGTGTCGACCTTCGGCAGCGCAAGTGGAGACGTTGGCTCTTGCGCAAGCTAGATGTTTGGAACCCTCGCCTGGCCATTCTCGAGTACCCTTGCACCGTTTGGTCGATCCTGCAGCGCAACTGCAACTACCGAGACCGTCCAGAAGAACTCGCTGAACCTCAGGATGCCGACCGACCTTTTCTCCGGTTGCGCAAGGACGTGTTTGACAGTCAGATCCGGCGACATGGCCATGGTTTGTGTGAGAATCCAGCAACTGCGGACTCCCAGAACGAGGAGGACATCATGGCTCTTCGTCGGCAACATCATGAAACCACTTCGTGCCTGTGCCATTTGGCATGGCAGGACGACATGGCTTGCCGATGCTCAAGAGGGTTAGGTTCTTCATTGCCACTCACAAGCACTTCACCGACACCCTCAACCGGAAGTGCGACTTCAGCCATGAACACGAAGCAGTTGCAGGTTCCAATACAGCATTGTCAGCAGCATATCCACCTGACTTGGCCGATGCCATCTGCCGGGCTTACTTGGAGATCAACGAGGAAGAGGATTTCGGCTTGAAGCACACTTGGGACACCTATGAACCGCGAAGCTCCTACTTCGTGGACGTCGACCGCGCAGAGGACAAGTGGATGCCCCTGTTCGACCTTGTGCAGGAGCAGCTTGCGAGAAAGGCGCAATCATGTTTTTGGACCCTTCCACCGACCTGTTCAGGAAGATTCAGGCCTTGACTCCCTGGCAGATCGCCAATGTTCAACTGTCTCATCTACCAAAAGCCAAGCGGGTGAGACTGATGCTCAACGATGGTTCCTTGACCATTGAGACCGAGTACTTGCCGGACGCTCAAGCACCTCGTGAACGTTTTGTCACTCCAGTTCGTTGGGCCATCTTCATCCTTGGGTATGCCCCGGGTGAGCCAAAAGAACCTTCACCAGCGGCACCAGCTCCTGAACAACATCTACATGAAGACCTTGTTGCGGTGGACGACCCCGTGCACACCGCTCTTCAAGAAGAAGGCTTGGCGCGGCAAGATTTCGCTGGAGAATGTTGGTTCGTGGGCCCTCCGCTGACCAGTGCTCAGAAGAAACTGGCCGTTTCATTGGTCAGAATGCATCGCAACCTGGGCCATCCAAGACAGCCTGATTTCACAAGGGCTTTGGCTCAGCAAGATCGACTAGAACCAGAGGTGTTGGCTTTGTCACGCCGTTTGAGGTGCGCTACATGTGAGAGAACCAAGAGGCCTTTACCTCCGAGACCTTCCTCACTGAAGAGCACACCACCGTTCAACACCAAGCTCTCCATGGACTTTGTCTACCTCCATGACGTGGATGGCGAGAAGTTCAACTACTTGCACGTGCTAGATCCAGCTGGCGGCTTCAATGTTTTCGCCGTGGTGCCGAACCGTGAGCTCGCCACCACTCTGGACACCTTCGCCATGTCTTGGACAAATTGGGCCGGTTTTCCAAAACAGATCCACCTCGACAGAGATGGCGCCTTTGAGGGCATCTTGCAAGAGAAGCTGACCAACATGGGCATCGAGCTGGACTACATTCCCGCTGAGGCTCATTGGCAGTCTGGAGATGTTGAAGCCTTCAACCGGGCGTTCCGCAATGTTGGAAACCGCCTCATCGATGAGTTCCAGGTGAAGGGCGAGCAAGACATGCGCCTTTTGGGCGCGCAAGTGGCAGCCTCTCTCAACGACAGAGTCCGCATGAGCGGAGCATCCGCAAACGAATGGGTCTTCGGACGGAACCCTTCCTTCCCTGCGGACCTCCTTGATTTTGACGGCAAGGCAGAAGCTTTGATGGGCATGGACCGGGACTCCCAACTACGCTGGAGGCAATCAGCGCGATCTCGCGCTGACACCCTGATCTCCGAGTACCGGACCAATGAAGCCTTGCAGAAGGCAGTCATGAGACAGAGTCGACCACCTCGCCAACGTTATGAACCTGGTGAACTGGTAGCTTTTTGGAGGAACATCAAGAAGAAGAAGGGCAAGCTCGTGCAACCGGGCTGGTTCAGAGGCACGATCATCCGGCCTCAGAAAGGCTCAGAAGAAGGCAAGCAGTCCAACTACTGGATCACCTCCAACGGCAGATGCGTCCTGGTCTCTCTCGAACAACTTCGACCAGCCTATGGGACAGAACTCTGGCCGATAGCTGAAGATGATTTGCAATGAATGGTTGGAGGACAACATGCCCGACGGCTACTACGACGAGAGAGGAGATGCACCCATGCTGGACGATGACCAGGAGATCAAACATGAAGCCATACAGGTTCCCTTTTACGAGCCTGCTGGCCCCGAGGAGAAGTCGGAAGAGACACTACCACCTCCTCAACCTCCTGAAGTTCCAGCTGGACACCAACAAGTACCAGATCAGCCGGCAACTTCGTCAGCGCCTTCAGATGCGACTCAACCGCATCAGAGCTCGCGCTTGCACTCGCGTGCTCCAGGCACACCCATCTCGGGCCTATTCAAAGCCCACCACGAACGACAAGCAGTGCAAGAGCCTGAGTGCCAGAAGACGAAGACTTTGACATGGGCCTTGAACCACCTCCTCGCCCACTACATGAGACCGATAGTGTGCCGCAGGTGAGTTCAGTGCTAGCGGCAGCTCTTGCAGACGACAAATGGCATGTCTCCAATGACCGCGTGTGGTTGGTGAGAAGTCACAACAAGCCGAGACGGCGCCTCTTTTCCCCTTTTGAGGCCATGGCTTCACCGGTAAACCCACACCGCTTGGGACAAGCTCGACAGACCAAGCTGAAGTTTGTCAACGCCACCTTCACCTATGACCCCGACTCCGCGAAGGACCAGATCGTCGAGGACACTTGGGAGAAGGACAAGATGCAACCAGATAAGGGTCGTGCTTGGGTTGGCAAGACGCGCTTCCGCATTGCTTGCGCCACGCGGAAGGAGCTCAAGCAACTTGAGAAGGAGATCCCATGGCACCTCATCCCAGACGAGGAGCGCAAGGGATACCGTGAAGCTCTGGTCAAAGAGTGGAGTGTTTGGCTCCGCTATGGCGCGGTTGTGGTCTTGGACCTTGAGGCCTCCCGCTACATCGAGGACCACGTTGATGCTGCACGGATCCTCAACACCAGGGTCTGCTACAGAAACAAGAATGCAGCGTATCCCTGGCTCCCTGTGAAGCACAAAGCTCGTTTGGTTTGCCGTGGTGACCAGGACCCTGACTTGACCACACTCCGGAGAGACGCTCCGACCATGAGCAGGGCTGGAATGTTTTGTTTGCTTCAATTGGCAGCTTCACATCCAGGTTGGTTCCTGTTCAACTCCGACATCACCGGAGCTTTCCTTCAAGGAGATCAGAGCTTGGCCGCCAGGAAAGAACCTTTGTTCCTGAAGCAGCCTTGTGAGGGCTTGCCTGGCATGCACCCAAAGCAGCTGATGATGGTGGTCCGCGGCATCTTTGGTTTGGCAAACTCGCCAAGACTTTTCTGGCGACACCTGAGGGACACCTTGATCAAGATCGGCTTCCGACAGAGCACACTCGACCGGGCCATGTTTTTCTACTACAAGGATGAGCGCCTCATTTTGGCCCGTGGTGCACATGTCGACGACCTCCTTGGCGCAGGTGAGCCCGGCACCGCTGATCAGGTGTTGGATCAGATCAAGCAAGCATTCGACTTTGGAGCATGGGCTGATGACCGGACCGACGACGTCCTCGAGTACGGTGGCAAACAGATCCGCCGCAAGTCCGATGGCGCGATCCTCCTCAGTCAGGACAAGTTCATCAGGGCTACATCAGTGACCCCACTGCCAAAGTGGCGTTCGGCTACACCTAATGCCCCATTGCTGGCATCAGAGATGACCGAGCTGCGGAGTGTGGGCGGTTGCTTGCACTGGATCGTGGGACAGACACGTCCCGACCTTGCAGCGGGCACCTCCACGCACATGTCAGGTCAGCCGACCGTCGAAAGCTTGCTGCAGTTAAGCTTCTCAAAGAGGCCAAGCAGTCCGAAGATTGGGCCTTGCAGTTCCGCCCCATAGACCTGGAGAAGTCCATGGTGGTTGTTTTTTCGGACGCCAGTTTCGCCAACACAGAGGGCCTTCGGTCGCAAGCCGGCTACCTCGTGTTCGTGGCGGAAGACACGGCTTTGACAGCCGATGGTGGTCGTGCTTCCTTGATGGATTGGCGATCTCACAAGATCAAACGCCAATGCCGTTCCACGTTGGCAGCTGAGACAATGAGCCTCGATGCAGCTGTGGACTCCGGCCTTTACATCCGGGAGATCCTTGCTGAAGCTTTGATTCAGGACTATGTTCCTTGCCAGTCAGGTCGCTTGCCAGCTTCCTTCATCCCGATGGCGGCCGCAACGGATTGCAGAAGTCTGTACGACCTGTTGGTCAAAGACAGTGCTTTGTCCACCACCCAGGAGAAGAGACTGGCAATAGACATAGGTGGTCTCAAAGAGACAGCCGCAGAATTTGATGAGCAGCAGGAACAGTTGGCCGATGTTTACAAATGGGTGGATACGCACCACCAAATGGCCGACCATTTGACCAAGCAGAAAGCGCCTGCTTTGCTCAGAGAGCTGTTGGATGAGGGTCGGATTGCACTGAAAGCGGTCGAAACGAGTTCTCACGAATTTTCACATAACAGGGAGTGCAATTCCGGCATGCGTCCATGAGCTGTTTGTGCATGTTCACGTACCGCCGCTAGGGCCCTTGAGCATAGACCAAAAGGGTGTGCAGCCCCTTCGTTCATGTCGTCGTGAAGCCGACACTCCTTTCGTGGGTTTGAGCACCGACCCCAAGCTCCACATACCCTACAATCGAACCCCGTCGATTGCAATTCAAAGAGGTAAACACACATGTTTGTCCCTGCAAGGCAGTTGCTGTTGTTGCTTCGTCAACCAAATGGCAAGAAGGAATTGAATGCTGCCGCGAGTGGGACGCTTGTGGTGAATGCAAGAGGTGTTTCATGTGTCAAGGATGGGATCAGTTTTGGCTTTGCACATTCAGGATTTGGCACAATGAAGACGAGAACCCCTTCCGCAAGATGTTCAAAGACCAGAAGGATGCGTGGGTTCATACTTGGAACTGAGCAACAAAAGGTTTGCAAGTTCCAAGTGTCAGGATGTACTACCAGAAGACCGGGTGCTGCGAGAGGCAAACGCTTTCAGGGGCTTTCAGTGCAAGAATTTCAAGACTTCTTTGCACCAGCGATGAAAAGTCAGAAAGGCTCGACCTGCTGAACAAGATCCAGAAAGTGATGAAGAGCCCGAGGTGATTCGATTGGTCTTTCTTTTCAGCTACATCCTGCTTCGTTGCTCAGGGCGAGGACGTCGATGATGATCCAGAAGGTTCGGCTTCGAGTTTAGCTTGACTTGGTTGGAGGTTGAGGGCTGGAAACTGCAGAAAAGATTTCTTGGACCTCTCAAAGCCTAGGTCTCTGTGATGCGGACATCAATACACTTACGCCGGTCGGTCTCCCAGCTGCCTTGGACCTTGGACTTTCCAGGACACCTCCCACCGGGACACTAAGGTGCAGCTTTTGCTGCGGGCGAAGCGCAAGAAGAGCAGACGGGCAAAGCTACCAAAAGAAAAACCGAATGCAGTGGACTTAGACGAATTACCTGGGAGCTTTTGTGGGGCTGAGAGTGAATTTTTTCGAGGTTACTATTCATGTCGCAGAGACTTTGCCAGATGGGACACTGGGCCTAGGTGAAAGCTGAAGTTTTCTTTTTCCTCTCAGCATCTCTCAGCTTGTTGCTTCTAATCAACTTTTTGCATGTCGTCTCTCTGGGATTTTGAGCAGTTTCTCCTGAGCCCCTGATCTGCAGGGTTAGATGATGCGGACGAAGAGCTCCGAGGTGCTTCTTTTTGTTTCATTGGGAGCCGTTGGTTTTTTGGAAGTCAGGTCTTATGGTGGTGGCGCGGCGGCAAAATCCAAGAAATCCCAATGTAGCACTCCATTCAAGTGCCTGCAGCATTGCTGCCTTCCAAAATGTTTTGGCACTTGGACAAGGTGTCAATTCACCGCAAAAGTGAGCACTATGGCTGGCAACTAGGAGTCATTCTCCATTTGATTAGATCTCCTACAAGGACCGCCTCATTGAGCTTCAGGAGACCGCATCATTGAACTGAACGGCCATATGATTGACGAGTGGGATGACTTCAAAGCAACATGGGCTGCTGCGAAGCAGTATTGGACTCAAATCCTGCGAAAAATGAGTTGGACTCATTGATCTCCTGTTGACACTGCCTTCCTTTTCGAAAGGGAAGTCCTGTTCAAGATTTGTGATGGGACTAAGGTTCAGTACCACAGGGGCAGTCTTTGGAGTCGTCCGCGAGGGTGTTGAGTGCCTTTCAGAGGTGGAACCGAGGCAGGACGAAGGAAGATAGCATTTGTCTCTTTGAGTTTTGATTGTTATTTGTTCAATTTTGCTCGTATATAAATGCTCGTCTTTGGATGAACGGAGGTGTTTGCACTGTGGTGTCAAGGGCAAACATTTGCCTGAAGTCCCGGACGACTTCGACTTCGAAACGGCGTTGAAAAGAAACGTCTGCCCAAGGCAACGCTGCTCCAACTGGGCTTGGGCCGAGGGCGAGGCACTGATCTCAGTGATTGGGATCCAAAATCTGCTTAGGCGACTGCCAGAGAGCCGTTCCCAGGTGTTCTTCTGTGGCAGGGACTGTCAGAAGGAAGCTTGGACTGCTGCGAAGAGGAAGGCCGCATTGTTTTCTTTTTTCCAGCCTGTCAAAGCCCTGCATAGTTGGCCTGTGGTGTTTGTTTTCTGAAGGGAACACCTTTGTTCTTGAGTGCCTAAGCAGATTCAGGTCTGCTGTCACTTGGACAAACATGGCACTTGCCACATCTTGTCACAGGCGTGAGAGTGCATCGAGTGTCGTGCAGAGGCGAGGAGATGTTTGACCCTGTTGGCATTTTAACGACTAAACCATTAGACCTTTGGTCCACTATCTTCATTTTTACTATCTTCATTATCTTCCTTTTCTTTTTTCCGTGTTTCCACTAGCGATGGTCTCCAACCTACTAGTCATTCAGCTGGTGATACCTTTGCATGGCCTGCTCCATAGGAAGCTTCTTGAAAGGTGGATCAGCAGCTCAAGGTGACGAAAAGAAGTGCCAGCACCTTTAACTGCAAATCTTTGCTTTTGTTCTCTTTTGCAAAGCTCAACCGTTCGCAGCAAGACTTCTCTTGGGATCTTGGCGACACAACTTGAAAAGCACTGGCTCACAGCCACAGACACAATAGATGGAACAGAAAAAGATCCACGAAGAATCCCAGAGCTCCTCAACATTAGCTTCAGAATTCCAAACAAAAGGCTGACGTATTCAGAGAGCTGTTCAGAGCTGTTCGCATTGACGATCTAATCATGTCTACATTTTTTTGACGTTTTCTTTTTTCCACTTGGCAAGCCCCAAAGGGCTGCGTCCGGAAGTGCAGGACAGAGTGACAAAAAGTCAGTTGCATTTGGCATATTTTGAAGGACAGAGTCATTTTTATATGTTTTGGTCCTGTTTTGGTCCATTGGTTTTGATGGATCAAGGGAAATGCCATCGTCCAGGATGGCATCCTCTGCGCCGATCGACTTCGCATCAGGGGACCATTACACGGTTCTCGGGGTGGCGCGCAATGCTTCAGAGGTTCACTGTTTTAGCGTGGTTCACTTTGGTGCTTTTGGGATCAATGGAGAGCAAGTATTTTTTCTTTTGCGAGGCGGAGCTGGCCAAAGCCTACAAAATGTTGGCGCTTCGATACCACCCAGACAAGAATCAGGGAAACACTCAAGATGCGGAGGCTGGGATGGCCACAGTTAGTTGAAGGACTCGCAGACTCGCATCAATCCTTCGTGCCAGATCGGCTTTAAGCGAATCTCTGAAGCCTACAGCGTGCTGAGAGATCCAGAAAAGCGGGCAGAGTGCGCCTGAATTTCCCAACAGCTCTTCCTTGTTGTGTTTCCGACCGTCAGGTATGATCGATCTGGTGGCATTCGGTCATATGCCGCTCGTATTGAAAGATCTTCCAATCTTTTTTTAAATAATTCTATTTTTATTTGCTCTGTGTGCTCTCACCGTCTGAGGTGAGCTATGAAGAGGCTGAGCAACTGTGGCGGCAATTCTCATCCCAAGATGGAACTGAGGCCTGGGGTGTTTCGCTTCAGGCTTCATTTTGGCCAAAAGAGCACATGTTGCTCAGGCCCCATCACAGGAGGAGGCATCGCGCAGACGCAAGGTGACCTCGACAAGTGACAAGAAGTTAGCAAGTGGCAATTGCATCACGGTCACTTCTGATTTCTACAGTTGCATACGATTACACTGATTGGCAGTTTTGAGAAAGTCCTGATCAGTCAAGGCGACTGCACTGGTTGTTGTTTTTGCCTTGCTCTTCTTGGCCCCGAATTTGCTGATGCAAATTCTGCCTGGTTTGGCAGCCGCTTTGGTAGGTCGGACTGTAGACAACGCACAAAGTGGTCCGGTGCAGTCTGCTTGCCTTGTCCAGGTTTGGCCCTGATTTCTCGAACAGAAAGTGCATCCAGATGGGTATGGCCATACCCCTAGATCTCAGGGACGATCTTGTATCAAGCCACGTTAGGTCCCTTCCAAGATCTTGTGAATGAAAGGCTAGCTTTGGGCTTGGTGCTGGCGGGCTATTTGGTCCCGTGGGTTCTTCGAGTCCTTGCCTCATTCTCCAAGTCCTTACATCTTCAGTCAGTCAATTTATTGGAACCGAACCACAGAGCTTACCTCCGTTGAGCACTGGCGATGTCAGACTTGTAGGTTCGCTCTGAATTTGAACCAGTACGAGGCTCGCAAAAGAAAGAGGTCAAGTGACCCGGGACTCGGTGGACTCGGACGTCTGGACACCTTCGGACATTGCCACCCGCATGCTGAGGAGCTGTCCGTTTTAGAATTTTTTAGAAGGGAACGGGGAAGAAAACAAAGATGTGATGTCTATATGAAGGTCATATTCCAAGGTCCAAAGAAGGAAGAAAAGAAAGCAAACACAGGAAAGGAAGAAACAGGAACAAAGAGAGAACACAGGCAAAGAGGCCATATATAATGCTGCGATAATATGGGCCACAAAATGTATACTGTAACAAGCTTTAGTTCCAGGCCATTTCACCAATGGACCTCTACCTGCGGATTCCTCTTTCCTATTGTGCAAGAGTAGCATCCCTCCTGCTCGCCACGGAACTAAACGCACGACAATTCCTTGAGGCCTCAGAACACTTCTCCAAGATTACAAAGACAACCAAGACATCGGATTGGCAATGTTCCCTCTCCTGATAAAATTGACATTATACATTCCAATTGCCATTGCATGCTGTTGTCGAAAATGTGCAAGCACAACTGACACGCACAATTGCTGCACTTCTTTGCCAACACCGTGCCAGCACTAAAAGAGGGGACCCTCCAACGAGACACATTGTTCCATGTACTGGCTGCTCTGAGGTGCGAATTTGCGTGGCCTTGGCGAGCCAAGCCCAGTTCAATTCTTAGTGCAAATAAACCTCAGCAAGTTTTACAAACTGATTCTTTTGGTTGAGATGGTTGCCACTCCATGTTTGCAGACGTCTTGGAGGTGCCAGTCGGGACTCCAGAAAGTGGAGAAGAGGTCTTGTTGAATGATGGGCTTACAGCTTAGATGCTACAGAGAAGCTGCTTCTAGTTGCACTGTCCGTAGGGTATCGACGGGATGCTCTACAAGTATCAGTGAGCCTCTTGATGCTTCAAAGAATTGGAATTGCTTCTGAGGCGTTTCATGCGGCTCCCTGATCCTGAGAACCGGAAGTCGGCTGAAAGGAGTGCAAAGGAAGGCGTGGAAAAGTACGCCACCAACACGAGTTTCCCACGCAGCCAACAGCACGCTGAGCACACTGTCGAAGTCACCATGATGCAGCAGCCAGTTGTGTCAGGATGGCAGCAGCGTTTGCCAAGCAGCTTAGACTTGGTGCAAGAAAGTTCAATTTACTGCCAATCATCATTTGCCTGCTGCGGGGTTCTTTAAGGTTGTCAGAGATGACTACTGCTATTAAAGGTGGCCACGAACAGGCACTGTATAGTGTGTTGGCAGAGGTTGTTCGCGTACTTTTCCATTCCCTTCTGTTTTCAGGTCCTCACCGTCTTCTCTCGTCAAGGTTGTCCTTGGTGCCAGAGGTTTGGCTGTTTCGCTGGTTGCTTCGAGTCTTTGATCCTTCAGTGCTTTGGCCTGCCAGTGAACAAGGCAACTTCCTGTTCTGCAACGTGCAATTGCAAAGAGAGTAGGCCATAGTGCTGCTAACAACGATGCTGCACGTGAGGCCCGCCACGCTCATATTGTGAGTGATGACACAATTCTGATTGCTTTTTGTTTTTTTTTTCTTGGCCTCTTGGCTGGCATATCAAAAGCATTGTTCCTCACAGAAGCCAGCAGCTAGCCGCAAAAGTTGGCCAAATCAATCTTATACAAAGACTGTCAACAAGAGAGCCACAGGAATTGATCTTCACGATCTCAACAAGAGGTTGAGCTCAGACGATGTCGTCTAGTGTGCTGATCGCCAGCAGTTTCATGCCAGGCACCTCCTTCCGCGTCAGGGCAGCATGAGCAGGCGATGGGCGAGCCGAGCAAGCCCATCCAATGATGTTTTTGGATTCCAAACAAGTCTTTTCCCCCTTTTGGGGCATAGACAAGACGCATCATGAGTGAGATCATAATTGAGGTTTTTGGGGGTTCGTTTTGGTTACTGCCATCGCCTTGGGGCAACGTCACACTACGGCATCTTTTTCACCCTTGCATTGCTTGACCTTTCTATACTTGCTTGTTGCGCATCATGCACACGGTTCAAGCATTGCTTGAGTTCGGACCCAGCATCCCCAACCAAGACCCAAGCATATATAAATTGTCATTCCGACTCCATCCCATCAAACATCACAAGCATCATTCCGACAGTCCTTTGCTCCCGACTGCCAAACCGAAGATGGCGTCCCTCCAGTCCTCCAGCTTGGCATGGTGATGGATCCAAGAATCCGAGCCCTGACCCACGATGAACCCTTCACGTAACCGATTGAATGATCGCAGTCCCAGCGAAGGATCGCATGTCTTGACTCCCATGCTCCCTCGGAGTATATGAGGCAGTTGGAGCGGCGTGACTTTGAAGTTGAAGGAACCACTACAGAGATATTTGCAAGACAGAAGTACAAGGGCTTGTGGCCTGTCCTTGATGGTCAGTCACTTGGACGATGAAATGTATCTGCGTGAGAGAACGAGGTGACACTTCATGTAAGAAGCTTGTCGCGTAAGCAAGATCCGATTCGGGTCTTTTGATATCTAGTTCGATAATCCGACCAGGAGGTACTTGAAGCTTGGAGCCCGTCCGATTTGGATGCACGATGCAGCATTTTCGACAACTTTTCTTTGGCATACCCCCCGCTAAGCTCGCCACAACGAATCGTTGGGATCGAGAGGTCACACAACAAACTCGAACAACGAGAAAATAGAAACGTTCGACCAGCCAGAATTGCCACAGCTGGTTGCAGAAGCGGTATGCCCAAACATGGGCCAGTGAAGTTGTTCGTGTAATCAGAATATCAGCCGCTCAGAGCATTCCACCGAAAATGGAGTTGACCAGCAAAACATTCATGTTGAGTTAGAGTGGCCTGACGAGACATGTTCTGGACCTCACTACATCCCAGATCACGCCCCAAGTCACCACATCACCAAATTGCACCAATTTGTCACAGACCACCTGAATGAATGTCATCACCAAATTGCACCACTTTTTGGAGAGCTGCAGCTGCAAGAGATGTAACCCTGTGGCCTGACCTAGGGTTTGTGTAAACGGGCCATGTCCAGCCCCAGCTTGGCAGTAGGTAAACCATCCTGGAAGAGTGGGGTCTATTGAAGTGAGGTATGTTCTACTTTCGTTGGCCAGTGGTCGCAGAATGTTTGCCGTTCTTCTTGTTGCAAGCATCCTTGCAGGCAGAGACGCCACAAGAAGTGCCGGCACAAGCATTTGTTTCCACCGCAGCTGTTGGGCTGGTGAAACCTGGCATGTTTGCCTTTTTTGACAAGTCCAATCAAGAAAGCGTGCTTTATGACCTCAGATCTGGAACGTCTTGCCCGGTGCACTTAAAATAGAAGTGCTTCTTTGAGAAAATTATGTTTGTTCCAAAGATGTTGCATTGACAGGCCAAACCACCTTCTGGGGCATCGCTGGTGTCTGCACCACTCCGGGTGTTCATCCTTTATGCCGGGCCTTTGAGCTCTTACCGACCACTGGAGAACTATGACCCTAACGATGATCCATGGCGTTCACCGCACGATGACACCACTCCAACACAGGGAGCTGTTCCGGGCTATGCCGCGGGACCAGTGAATCCCACACAAATGAACGGCATGATGAATGTGGGTGGTGGGCAAAACTTTGGTCAATCATCCAGTTTTGCACCACCGCTTCGAGCTGATTCAGTTTGTGGATTTGATGAACACCAAGGCCGAAGAGTTTCCATCTGCCGCGCAAGCTTTCAATGTGGAGGAGCGGACACTCTGGAGATGAGCAAGAACCCCTTCGTTTTGTTTTTGGTGTGTGTTTTCAAATAGAGTATCACCCTGAAACCAAGACCCATTAGAGCATCACCCTTTGCTTTGCGATGTTTGGAGGCTTTTCCAACACTCATTGCCTGGGGACTTCCTGGTGTACCGTGGCTTCGGCGCGTTCGTTCGGAAGCAGATGCACCTCTTTGTTGTTTGGTGACTCTGCCAGGCCCTTGGCTGCACAGGGCTATTTGGATGATGAGAGCCTGGAACAGCTGCCCGGGCGCCCAGAGCGAACAGCTGTTTCTTTGTTTTGAACGAGCTACGCGTGGCGAGGCTGACAACAGTGGCCTTGAGTGAGCCTCAATCAGACTAAGCAGAGGTGGAGCTGGACTCATATTGCAAAGCTGAAAGCCACGGTGTTCTGAATCTACTGGCATTTTCAATTCGGCCAGAGATTCTTACATCTTGGATTATGCTACAGTTACTGACTAGACAGTGCGAAGGTGGTCCTACTACAAAACGTAGGCTGTCCCCGGCACTCGCACATGTCGTGTGCCAGACCTGTGATACCGGAAAACTGCACATTGACTTAGCTTCTTCAAGGCAGTTTCTTGTGAGGGTTTTGTGAGAAAACCTGGTTCTTGCAAACACAGCAGTTTTTGTTTCGCTTGTGTTTGTCCTCTGGCTGGAGCTTTAGTTTCAGAACTTCAACCATCATTGCAGTGGTGTCAGCTGCACCTGTCTTGTCGCTGGCAAGGCGACATGAAGGCCTAATTCTTTTTGCCACAACTGATAGAAATCAGAACAACAACGTAGTCACTGACATAGCTCAAGCGGTAAAGCAAGAATCTTCCTCTTGTCAGGCAACGCCCAAAGTTGCGGCCTCCAGGACTTGGGAGAAGGGTCTGGGTCCTTGCAATTTAGGTTCGTGATCCGCCAAGTACCCGAGTGGGGGGGATCAAGTTGGAGAAGCTTTCAGCAGCTTGCTTGCTTGTCAATATGAGGGTCCTTCTCTCACAGTCTGCCAAACATTTGTATCCTAAGATTCTTTTGACACGTTTTGAGCAGCAATGAACAGACAAGTAACATACAGTACACGTACAAGCTACTGCTTCGGTTTGCTATTTGCAACCTTCGGTTTTGCGCGGCAGGAGCAGTGCGCCCAATCCCAAAGGTGCGAACTTCGATTTCCCTCGGCGAACGGACCTTTGTGACGTTTGGGCTCGCCTCAGGAAGTCCAGGCTTGAGGAGACGACCTCCACAGCTTGCGACAAAGGCCACAATGAATGACAACTTGAAGACTTCAAGACCTTCATGATGCACTTTCGTCTGAGGAATATGTAGAAAGATGCAGTTTCGTCCTCTCTTGGGCTCAAGTCTCCGAGAAGATACTAGAGCCATCTAGAGCCCGCATTGTTAGATGGTTTTTGGCCCAGGTCAATGTGAGCGGGACACATGCTGCAACTGACAGCCTTTGTGAGGCTAACAAGACACAGAAACCACACAGACTGACACACAAGATACTCTTGCAAAGCCAAGTGCGGCGTCATGGGAGCTGGGCTGGCGGTTTGTGCGCGCCAAGAGGACTCGCAAAGGAAAGAATGGCTATCTTTCGTGTGAAGACGTGTGAAGACTATTGGGAGAGTAATTGAGTAGCAGTCAATTTTTGGATAATTCATCCAACTCGCAGCCACAAAAATGGTCACTTCTGTTGCCTGGCTCTCTGTGGAGGACACTACAGTTGAGTTTCCATCTTCTGTGGAGTCACCTTGTCCAAAGCAGCAAGGTGATTTGATCCCGTCACCAGGCGCAATGTTCGTGCCATGCGGCCATGCGCAAGCAATACACCACCAGAGCATCGTTGCCAACTCTTTTCCGAGGTCTCTGCAAGCCTCGTTGCCAACCAAACGAGTTTGTCGACGTGGAAGTTTGTCAGTCACCAACAGAGAACCACGCAAGCGGAGAAACTTCGGCGGCCAGCTTAGTCTGTAATACAAGTTCCGAAGGTTCTTACAGACAGTTAAAAAAGGTTGTTGCTGATGAAGTTGCCGTGGTTCAGTTTGTCATCATTCCGTGACATACCGGTAGCGCAGCTACTCTTCCTTCAGTTCTTCTGACAACTCCACACAGAAGGGTTGGCACTAAGGCGAACATAGCGCAGCTGCTGGAAAAGCCTGTAGGGTAACTGAACTGAATTGGTCACACCATTCAATTGTTTTGTTTTGCGAGCTGCCTTGAAGTGAGGCAGTGCGCTTGGCTGCCGCCATGCTGCTCACAGTATGGCAATCGGTGACTCGTCAGCATTTTTTTGTGTCTAGGCTGAGACTGCCACCAAGAGAGATCGAGAAGACCAGCGCCAAATACTGCTTCAAACCAACATTGCTCATCAGATATATAGTAATTTGTTTGATTTTGCTTGATATTATTCTTGGACTTTGCTAAATCTTTCATAGCAGCGGACGTGTTCTTTGCGGAAGCATGCAAGATGCTGCAAGACCATTGTTTGGAACGATTGGCTTCCGAAAAGGAAGTGGAAAACTCGACGGGCCAAAGGCAACGCGTTTTGCTGGGCAGGCCATGTGGGTTTCCGGAGAAGTCGGCAGAACTGGAGTGAAAACGAGCACCACAAAGTTGCTGCCAAGGTCCCCGGTGTCCACCGTTCAGGCGGGAGTTATGATTTCCAGAGTAGACTTCTTCTAGAGGAGATGCCAGAGAGAGGCTTTTGCGGAAGATCAAAGGAGACGGAGCTGAGCAGGACATAAGAGAGTAGACAATGCTGCTGAACTCAGGTGCCGACAGAGCCATGGACCATGGGACTGAAGGGGCAGCTGCCCCAAGTTGAACAAGTCGGCAGCTCTGGGAGAAAGAAGGCAAGAGGTCTTCATCGCTTCACATGAGAGGTGGGCCAATCGCATCAAGTTGCTGAGGAAGAAGTCAATGAAATCTCAGAGGATATCAGCGAGGAGCTGAAGCTACTGGGCATGGAGGACGCAGCCACCATGAAAGAAGACATCACTTCCAGAGAAGAGAAGACCTGCAGGATTGGCTTGCTGCAGCCCTTCAAGAAGACAATGAAATATTTCAGACAGGTAGCCAGGCGCCCCTTCCAGATTCTCTGTATAATTTGATTCAGCAACCTTTTTTGCGACTTAGACCAACTTCTCAGAAGCGGCTGAATCCAGGTTTTGTTCCAATCCAAAGACAGCTATTAGCTTCAATCTGATACGAGACAAAGCCAATTCGAGGGTCACTTTGCCAGGTTGCGGCTTCATCAAGGCGGGTGACAAACACCATTGCAAGTGCAATCAAAGATGAAGCCACCAGGTCCAATGCGATATCACCACGAGGGCAACCAGAGGAGGCAGAGATTGAACATTGATTAATATTGCATACATTGGAGAGACAAAAGAGACATAGATCATCATAGATTCAATACATCGTGCAGAGGAGCCTGGCGCTAGTGAAGCTGATAGCTTCGCTGGTGAGCTACATGAGGCACGTTTTGAATGTTTTCCATTCGGAGGGTTTTTGGGAGTGCGCTTGGAGCAGCTTTAGAGCATTCCAAGTTTTGTTTCCGCATGGGTATGCAAGTTTGTTTCGCAGGATCTTGGGCCGCCAAGCTCTGCAAGGAGACAGACTCACGAGGCCCAAGAAGCCGAAGAGGCCCAAGAGGCACGGGGCCAGCTTTCGGCACGCGGCTTTGCAAAAGTGTCAAATCTCCAGGTGAGGCACATCTCTCCTGAATCTGCACAGCCCGAGGCATGCTTAGCTTGTGGCCGAGCTCACAAGGAGCTGAAGTTGTTACGATTGTTTCTTATCTTCTTTTTTTGCGGGGTAGGCCGCTGAAGAGGTAAGCTACTTACTTAGTAGCTATTAGGTACAGGACGCTACTAGCTAGGACGCAGGATTGGTCACGCTTCTTCAAGAAAGCTCGCTTCCTTGAAAAAGCGCGTTCACTATTCATTTGCTTCCTGGATTTTTGGCAAGGGAGTTTTGGGAAAGATCGTTTGATATGTCCGAAACCTCACTCAATACGGCGGTTGTGGGTGGTCCCACCCTGACTTGGTTCGTTTTTCAAGGTGTGCGTGGGTGTGTGTTTTCCAATGGTTTTTACTTATGCTTCCATGGCCACACAATAGATCACAATAGTATATATATATATATGTATATAGATATACAGATACAGCATCAATCATTTGAAGTTACCAGTTAAGCAATAGAGCAATCATTTGAATCACCAATTGGCAAAGGAACGCCAGCCATCCGTAGCAATAAGAAAGATTCAAATTACTCATGCCTCCAAAAACAGACACGTTGAATTCTCCTCAAGTCCTGGGTGAATCTCACCAAGCTCACAGCAGCGCAGTGGACATCCTGAAGTCTTGGGGGTTCTCAGTGCTAATCTCCCGCTTTCACCTCCCTTGTCTGGAGGTGGCCGAGATGGCTTTGGATCCTCCGGCTACTCCGAACCTCGACCATCAACCTGAAGAGGACAGAAGCGTTGGAAGAGACGCTTGCCTTGTGAGCATTTGTGTGACATGTTTTAAAAGACATCAAAACGCTACTGCCCTTGTTGCTATCAAACAGATTTTGTGAGAGGCGGCTATATGCGCTGCCCCTCCAGAGAGCGTGGGCCTCAAGTGATGAACTCGCTATTCTTTGTGTCTCCAACTTGCATTTTGGGTACGGTACCCTACCAATGTGCGCACTGTGGCCCTTGGATTTAGGTCTGCAACTCTTCCATATCTCAGCCTTGGATCTAGGTGTGCTTCTCAAGTGTGCTTCACGCATTCTTGCAGACGTCTATGACATAGGCTCCGATCCGGGTGACGATCTGCCTGGAGATGCTGGAAGTCGCGACCCCGAATCAAATTGTCAAGGGTCTCGAGAGAACTTGAGTCACTGTGTAACATGCACTGTTCAAAGGTTCTCAGAAGATTCTGTCGGACAAGCCACAGAAACGTTTACCTCGTCGAAAGCGTGCAGAACCCAGACTATGCCGCAAAAGGTTCATCAGCGTGCGCAGGAAGCAAGTACAGTTAGGAGTTTGTAGAGCTGTCGAGCTTGTGCTCTAGTTGTTCTAGTCCAAGGTGCTGACATTATGCTATGGTGAGGCGGTGCACCAGTTTCCTAAGCTCGTCACCTAATGCTTGCACTTGACTGTGCTAGAATCTCGGTGACTTTAGCATTTGGCCCATTTGGCAGACAAGTCTGCTTGCGGAATCAATCTGACCTACGGTCAAAAATGCAGATAGCAGCTATCACAAACCAGGAGACAAACCGCTTGGACTCAACAGTTTTTGACCGTATCTCGTGTACGTTGTGCAAAGCCCCAAGTGATTCTGCGGCGTTTGGTGGAGACTCATGAAATGAGTCCCTAAAGCTGAGTAGCTTCTAGATTTGCACTGCCAAAGAGTGCGACAAGTCCAGCATAGAAGCCTCATCCCGACCATTTGGATCATTGAAACCAACGCGTCTCATGGATCTGCATGGATCTCCAGGCTCAGGCAGCGCCAAAGCAAAGGTTGCGCTCGAGCAGCCCGAATGAGTTGGACGCTCAAAAGCTGTGGTGGACGTTGACTCTGATTGACCCCAGACATCATTGGCATCATTGATCATTGAGGTTGAAGGACAGAAAGCAAGTCGCAGAGGTCAGTGTCCTTGGTCCATTCGGCAAAGCACCAGTCAGCGTTGGCACAGCATGTTGATGCTGCGAGGCTCGAGCCGCTCCGAGTCAGGCACCCGTTGTTTGGCGTCCGAGCGACCATGAGAGGGATTTAGACTCTAAGCCTGGAGGACTCGAAAGCTGCGAAGCCTCCGGAGCGGCCCACGCCCTCAGAAGGGCTTCCGTTGAGAAGCAAAGCTGAACGATGCCATTTTGCAGTATTGTGCATCTCTTCTTCGAGTACAGTCTGACTATTCCGCTGACTCTAAAAATCAGAGTCACCAAAAGCATTGTTCCGCTTCGAGGACTCGAACTCCTCAGCGGAGCCCACGGACCCCAAGTCCCAAGAGAAATGCGCGCGAACGCAGCTCAAAGTTAGGAGAGCCACATGAAAAAAACAGTTTGAGAAGTTAGCAGCAGCTTCATGAAGATACCTACCTCATCAGTCTGAAACTAAACGTAACATATTTGTGCAGCTAATCTTCTTGGTTAATCTATCTCTACTTGAAGTCCTTGAAATCTCGTGAGGAGTTGCTACAGTGCCCAGCGAGAAGGTCGAGAAAGTTGAGAAGGTTGAGAAGGTTGCTTCAGAGCCTCAAGAGGCTGACAAAACTTGAAGCTGTTTTGATGGTTTGTGTGTTGGTGTTTGAAGAGAATCCCCCTCAGAGCGCCCACGAAATCTTGCGTTTGATTTCTCCTTTGGCTGAGCCAGCTGCGCCAGGAGGAGCGCCTCCCACACTCCTCGCGAGTTTCAGATGCTGTGTGAGAAGCTCAGCAAGCTCCACGGGACAAGCTCGACGGACTTCGCTTCATTCCGAGGAAGGCCACTCCACCTCCTGCAATGACTCTGGAGGCTTGGTAGGCCACTCTGCGAACCAGATGTGAAGAGTACAGCATTTGCAGGCACTCTATGCAGAGAACTATCGGCTGAAGCAGCAGGCCTCGCGGAGAACTCGTTAGACGTCACAGATTCGGAACTCCTCCAAGCAGGTTGCTCGCCAGCGTGCGGAGATTCAGGATTGGCTCTCAGCTTGCCAACCACGCAAGCCTTTCTTTCTGAATCCTTTCTTTAATTTCTGCATTTGGCTTGTTTTTGTCGCAGAGGAACTGCGATCGCAAAGCCTTAGTCAGACGCACACTCCAGTGCCGGGTGAGCCAGTGGCGAGCTATTTAGGCAGGACTTTGCAGACAGATAAACCATTTTGGTAGAGGTAGGCTTTCATCTCATTGTAAGGTGTTGTGATAAGCTTGTTCATGAGATGGAGACGGACAGCTAGAGAAAAGACACCTTGCAGTGAATTTCATTGGCCTCGCCTGTGTTGAGATCCATGTTTGCTTTCGCATTCGCGAAGCCCGCAGTTGGATCCAGAAGCACCACCCCTGTCAAGGCAGCAGGGTGATGCGCAAGAGAGAGAGGGAAATAGAGAGAGAGAGAGAGATGTTCGGGCTTTGATCGCGGTGTTTTGTTTTCTGCAAGCGTGACAGGTGCAGTGCGGCACATATTCTGTGCCTGCACCTGCTCCATGTAGGACGCAAGAAGCTTACGAGTGAATTGTTTTTCAGAGTACTAGCGCCCGCGGGCCCGATGCGGTGACCCAGTGAGCCTGTAGGGACATTAGGGTTGGTGTATATATGCTTGGGACTTGGGAAGGACTGTGGCCATTACAACGGCATGTCCTTGTGCAAGCCTCGGTGATGTGACAGCCATGTTTTGAGCATAGCTTTGATAGCTGCCAGGTCAAGTGCCGGTCAGCAGAGCATCCTTGTCACCCAGAATGGTCCGCCGATGTTGTTGTGATGCCACATGATGCCACTGCCTCCATGCTTGGGTTTTGGCATGATTCATCATGGAAAGGTCAGAGTAACTTCTCCCTCTCCTGCTTCAACACTGACGACTGACACGTTGACAACGCCCAGGCGAGGTAAGAGTGCCCAAGACACAGAAGAGCTAGGGCAGCTAGGAGGGCTGAGCAGCTTTGAAGCGCAAATCAATGGCTTTGAGGCAGGTGGAACATGCCTACCCCGTGCACATTCCTGTCGCCTACCCTGCGCCCTATGCCTGTGGTCAGGCGCGATATTTAACTCAAGCACATGTCATGCGGCTGCGGCTTCAAGTGAGAGATGACAGGTGCAACCTTCCGTGAGGGAAACCATGAGACTCAGCCGCAGACAAACTCTATCAAATTTTGGGACGACAAATGGAAGGTAAAACTTGACCTCGGAACGCTGCTTGTAACAACATTGACTATCATGATCTAAGCTTTCGACTTCATTCTGGCCCTCCAATGACTTAAATACAAAAATAAACATATTATAAATATTCAATATATATATATATATTAATGCGTTTACTTTTATTTAATGAATCAACTAATATTTTTATTTTAAAAAATTTTTAATTAATCTATTTTGATATTAGGAATTAATTATCTATTTATTAAATATATTTGAAATTAATATATATTTTTAGATATTTTTATTTTATTAAAAAATAAATTCTTATATATTTATATATTATACTTATTTGTTTTAAATTAGAACATACATTAAATATTTTGGGATTTTTATTGAATATAATTATTTATTGATTTTATGTTTTATTATTATTTTTAATTTAATATAGAGGATTCGTAATCGATAGTTTTAGGGAACGTGAAATTATGTAGTTGCGTGGTTTGTTGGGTTATTTTAATGGTCGGTAATATAAATATTATCGTATTCGTAATATATTATTTTCGTTATATTTTTAGATATGAATTATGGTATTATTATTTTTATTTATTGTTATTGGCATTAGTTATTGGATTTTTCGATATGTTTGAAGGATTTATTTGGTATTATTTTTATTTTGAAATTGATACGATTTTTTTTATTCGAATTTACGAATTTTTTAATAATGGATAATCGGGTTAAAATGGAGATTCGCGTTATAAAATAATATTTATTGGAATTGGGAGGAATTTTTTAGTGGATATTTTTAGGTTGATAAATTATTGATGGATTGATAAAGGATTTTAATAGATATTTGATATTTTTTTTTCCGATATTCATAATTGAAATTGATTTAAAATTTTAAATATAAAATTACGAAGAAATAACTAGGAAATTTATGATGCATATAATGCACTTTTATTCTTTGAAGAATATATATAATTTTTTTATGAAAATCCGGCGGATGGTACGACTGAATATGTTAATTTTATGTCGAATGATATTTGTAAGTATGTATTCTTATGTCGTTGGTCGCCGGTAGAATGGGAATAAGGTTCGTTATGGATTTTGTTATTGCATTATGCTCGAATAGAGAAGAGCAAAGTCTTCCTAGCGGCTAAGCTTGTGGTTGTTATCGATGTTTAAATCTAGAAGGATAAGTTTGGTTTGGAAGAATATAATTAATTCTATCGTATGTTGAACGATGGTACCTAAATTATGAAAAAGAGGGAGATTTGCTCCCATCGAATACCTGGAATAATATCACGCTAAGGCGAATGATAGCCTGTTGAAATGTGCTATTGCACTGAAGTTGTGTTCGAGAATAACCGCCTTTGGTTCCGTCGGTACGCATACTGCGGCGATCCCTAGTGGGCCGTTAGATGGATTGAATTTTGTTCTGGATGAAAATCTAAGAAATGATATCCAGGTATGGTTGGTAGATTGCAACGATATATAGGTTGATGGATATAATTCCTGAATTTTCTGCCAAGCCTCCATCGGGATGAAATTCACGCTACGCACTATTATTGAAACATATTTCACCTAATTCCCACGGCAGGGTAGGCTTATGCTGCCAAAACTTGGTGCGGACCGCCGCGCGTTCGTGCGCGACTTTCGTTTATCGTGGGCATTCGAATTGCTCCATACGTTCGCCATTCACGCACTTATTTCATAGATTTCGTATATCGCTAATATTTCCGCAAAACATATATTAAACCTAGCATTTATAATAAAAACCAATCTTAAATAACAATTCAATAAATTCAAATCTAAATTAATTAAAATCCAACCAATTTAATAAATTATAATTTAGTTAACTATAGTAATAATTCAATATATATATATAAATCAATTTACCAATTTCACATAATATAAATATAACCAAAAATCTCAATATATATTATTTAATTCATATATTTTATATATATAATTATATGTATTTACTAAAATTGTTAATAATTCATTTATATATATTTTATTCATTCACTTCCAGCCGGAGAGAGGTTAGGACCGTGTTGGGCAGCACAGCAACTAAGCTGCGGGTGCTTCAGGAGCATCTAGCCACAGTCACGAAACATGCGAATGCGAAAAAGGAGCAAAAGGCTCATTCGGAAAAGGCCGTAGCCAACAAGTCGGACAGGTCGACGATCATGTTCTCTATGGGTCTCCGCCACCACATGTTCACATCTTCTTGCGGAACCAGCCAGAACAAATAGGCTGAGCGGCGGATTGGATCAACTACCGAGCACCTGGTGGCCGGCTTGCCATCATCAGTCAGCCAAGAGCTTCCCGAACTGAGAAAAAGACATTGGTAGTGGCCGCTGTCAGGATCATCTCCAAAATGACAAACAATGGCCACCACACGGTATTGAAGCCAGCTGACATCCCTGCCTACGCTATTGTTGAAGACCGGTATGTGGACCTCAGCACGAGAGAAGTCCACGGGTGTGTTACGCTTCAAAGCAAGGGCAGGAAATCTTTCGAGTTACAACACTATGCATGGATGGGCATGGATGCAGGCATTCGTGTATGGTTCCTGACAATGCCCCATGTTGATCAAAACTTGCAGGTCGCATCTCTTTTCTTCCGGCATACGAAGGAGCAAGGGTGCAAGGAGCGCACCACGGTCTTCGGTGGAGTGGGCCACGCGTATTTGCCAGCCATTGGACTCCTGTCCCCAAACATGGCTAAAGGAGGTGTTGTCCTCGTAGCCAACCCAAAAATTCTGCTGCATCCTGCTGGTCAGTGGGAGTATGGTCATTGAACCAAGGTTGCAACAGGCGTTGAAATGGAACGGAAGCACAAAGATCCCCACCTTCTGGGGTGTCGAGCAATTCAAGCAGAGGTGTCCTCCACTGATCCCATAGCAGAATCAAAACCCTCATAGGCCAGAGTGGCCCAAAGCTGTCCCAACAATGCTGCATTGATATAGCAGGCATTGGATCAATTGTAGAGCTTGGTTCGAAGCAGCTGGCGCATCAGCGTCTCACACGGCGATTGCGGTAGCAAGCGGGGATCTTTGCAGGCCTGTTGGCCTCAGGCGCAACAGGATCAACTGGCAGATCCCGTTTCCGCTCAGGGTGTTGAGTAGCTCGAACAACTAGGTCGAAGTTGCGCTCCTGAGGCTGAGATCGAGACGCCATGGTATCGTCACCTGTGAGTCGTCCGGGATCTGATTGCGATTCCTGGGCTTGAGAGTTGAGAAACGTTGGATCAGATCTCCCTGGCTTGCTAGCTGTGAGAGCTGGATTTCTTTTTCGCACGGGTCGAGGCGCTATGTGTGCAGATGACGCACAAGTCACCTTAGGCTAATAAAAGAAGAGATACGAACCAAGCAGCGATAGCGGAACCAGAACAAAAACCAACCCAAGCCAAAAACACCCAACCAAACACACCCAAGGAAGCAAGGTTCGTACCTCAAGTTGGCTGCGTCAACCATCGGAGAAGAGTGAAACCGGGTGAAATGGAGGGGCAGCTAGCTGTGAGAGCTGGATGGTGAGCTCTTGAATCTTCTCCTGCGGCAGCGGCTGTTGCTTGGTCGGTCGAAGCCATTTGGCTGCACTGTCCTAGGATAAGTAGTTCCAGGCATTCTCGGCGGTCAGAATCCCTTTCTGTCGAAGGGCTTGGACCAAGGGATCGTCCGGGCTGTCGTATTTCAACTTCGTCAGTCTCTGAATCAGACCACTTTGAGGAAATTGACCTGTCGAAAGGAGCAGGTGACACCAATGTTCTGTCGCTGATGATGCCACTCCTTGGCTGCCAGGATCATGTCCGGTAGGATGGAGCCCCGTCCGGCCTGCAGAAACAGCAGGAAACTTCTGTCCAAGGCCATCTGATTGATCATGTTCTCCTGGCGTAAGGTCAACTTGGCCAGCATCATCAAAAGCTCCGAATCCCCTTCGTGCTTCGAAGAGGTGGTTGAGGAGTCGGATCGGGGTTTCGATCTGCCTTTCCCAGCTGTTTTGCCCTGAGATGACTCTGGCTCCGTGCGAGGGCGCTTGAGATGGGCTTGGCGTGTGTGCAGGAGGTCTGCAAATGACATATCGTCCATTGACATATTGTCGTCCATGCTCAGAAGCGGCTGACAGCACAAAGTCTCTAGCCAAGGCGTGCTCGAGTTCTAGGATGGTTGTGCGAAATCAACTGACTTGATCATGCGGGTCCGTGTCCATGTTAATCGTGCGAGGATCCCACCAGGTGTCAGGGCTGTCTGAGTTCCAGGCCCAATGCACGGGGAACGGCCCGGCTCCACAATCCATCGAATAATGAAGGGCACAGTGCCCAAGTAGAGTGCAACCTGAGGCAATTCCGGAAAGTGAATCGTCCATCTCATGACATCGGTGTATCAAAGCAGGCGACATTCAGGATGAAATGGGATACAACGATCAATGATGCATGCAATTGATATCTCAAGGTCATGATCGAATGGCGATCTGTGCCGAGCATTGGACCGCAGGTCCAGGTCTGATGAGCGCCCTGGGTCGGCAACGGGATCGAGACGCTAGGCAGTGGTGGTGACGGGACATGATCAATTTTGGACCATAGTGTGCATCCCTGACCCAATTCATCAAAAGGACTGGACATGTGCCTCTGTCAAAATGATTCTTGAGGGCGAAGGCCATGGTGAAATTGGCTTTACAATGCATGCAGCTCAGACGATCAGGAAACATATCCAAGCTTGGGCGAAAAGGGAACGAACTGGGTTTATCAATTTGATGAACAATTCGAAGATGGTTAGCTACAACTTTACGTCCCAGGTGCTCAAAACACAACGGACATTCGTGCTCCTGAATGGGAATTGGAATCTCAGTGATTGTGGCACGAAGGCGATGAACTATGGTGCCTGCACCAGTGGGATGTCCCTTCTTGGCAATTGGAGGTTCCTCTATTGTCGTGGCGTGGGCTGTCTGCTAATAGGCCTGCAGGCCATTCAAACTCAAGAAACAGGCATGACAGGTGGGGCACTTGTGGAGTGCTGCTTGAGGTCTATCTTCAACGATATGGCCGGGGACATCTATCGGAGCAACATCCTCTCCACTCGTGCGAGCACGTTTCGCTGCCGGCTCAGTGTGCGGCTCGG